CCTGCTGACTACTCTGCCTGTGATCCCTCTAACCAGGACAAGCAGTGCAGCTTCTGCTTGTTCATTTCCCAAAAAAAGCCACTGATATTCTTTGCCTGCTGCCTTTTCTCTACCCTTATCTTGCTTTTAACCATTATTTTTTTTCACAAAAGAAAAAGAAGAAAACGTTTTAAGGCAAAAAGCATCCGGTGCATCTGCTTTGCATTTTAAACAGGGGGGCACAATCCCACTTCCAGTGAGATCCACCACCCTTTGCCTGCCACAGTGGACAGTGCAGCTCTGACTGTAGGAAAGCACTGAGTCACTCCAGCCACACACACCAAGCATTTTGTTCAAAAATGGAAAGGAATCGCATGCACAGGAGCCATGACATTTGTTTCTGGTGAAATTACTTTTATCCACCTGTACATAGAAGATAAGTTCACCTATTTAAAAAAGGTTTTATGACTCTCCTGTGCCTTGGAATAACCTCTCAGTTTGACTTGTAGAGAGCGACTAAGCTGTGAGAACTGATATGCACTTTTCTACAAACCAAAGCGTCTTGTGATGGATATTCATGTTATAAATGAAACTACAGCTGTTTGGGTCTACAAATAAAAGTGTTACAAACCCCACAAACCTTCAACTAAGTACAAGCCAAAGAATGAAATGTCCTGGGACAGCTTCTGAAGTTATCCCTAAAGGAACAAATCCAAGTTAACTCTGTTCCTGACTGACATACCTGTATCCCTTACATACTAGGTTAAAGCAAATATAACTGGAGACAATCCAGAATCAGACCCAAACACAATTTTTCATCTCCAAAATGGGGCAGCCAAAACATTTTTACTAGCAGAGAACATCAAAATAAATAGCAACTATTAATCCAAATCAAGAGTGACAATTGTAATTCTTAATTGCACTTTCTCATAGTGTCATCATGCAAGTTGCCTTTGGGCAATTTTTGGAATTCCTTAAGCATGGATGGATGCTTTTCATCAATATTAAGCTTCAGCAGCTTGTTGCCAAGTGCACTATATCCCAGGATTTCCTGTGAATATTGTTCAGGACAGAATGGAACAAGTGACAATGTGGATTTTACCATAGCACGGAAATAGCACAACATCCCAAAGAGATGTTGCTACATGGCAAGACTAGTAACCAAGAAAAAAGCAATTTATATCCCCCAAAGACAAACAACTGCTGGTGAAACTCAGCAATATGCTGTGCTGGAACTCTGAGGTCAAGTCCTTTGTTTTCTTAAATGAGCAATACCAATAAAGCCTTGTGTTTTCAGACTACTGTTTCTATCTGTCTTTAGTTTAAATGGTCTTATCAGTCTGGTTGTACCAACTGCAGTTTTGTCTTTAGCCTGCTTCAGTCTGTCTCTTGAAGTCAAAGGTTCTGAAATTATGTGAAAGGACATTGGTTTCTCTCTGTGGGAACAATGGTTTTGCCACTTCTTAATGCTATGATTTAAAACTACCACTCATGACTCTGCACACTGAATCCACACTGCCCCTGTGTTTTCAAGCTATCAGACTTCATTCAGACTGGATGTTCTCAAAGACTATTAGGGCAACATGTCACTGTGCTAACATGACCTTGCATTACCCTGCAACAATTTGCTTCCCCCAAAGCCAAAGATCTTCAACAGGTTCGTGCAATCACCATTTAGTTCTTAAAAAAACCCAAAAAGACCAAGATATGAAATACATTTCATTTTATTATAAACCTCTCATGGTGTTCAGGTTTTGTACCAGATTCTTTGAGCTGGCATTGATATAAACATCTCGTGGTGGTTTGTTTCAGGATCCAGACAACTGCAAATAAAAAGTTAAGAGCTTTTAGAAAGGTTTTAGCAATGCTAACATGAAACTGAAAGTTTATAGTCGTTAATTTATCTCATAGTTTTAAGCCAAGATGGATGGTCAAAGAATTTGCTCGATTTTTACTTAAAGATGCATTCAAACACAACAGCTCATGACTGTTTAACAAGCAGGTAACAAGACGTTTCACCTCTCAACAAGCTTGGAACAGCACTAAAAATAATTTTTATCAGTGCATTGCAAGTGTCTGGAACCTGGCTGGGGATAAAAAAAAAACTAGTTTATGAAACTCACTTCAGCTGCATCCTGCCTCAAGCTTAGGTTGAGAAGGCACACAACAGGGAATTTATTTGCAAATCAGCCAGTCTCGTTCTGCACAAGTGTTCTGTACTGTGTATGGAACCATACACTGCTGAAACAAATTAAATTCCTCTAGCAGTTAAAATTCTTAAATTATCCTCAAATCCTTGTAACTCACCTTCAGTTACAAATGCCCATGTACAATGTAAATAGTTGTCCTTGTTAAACTGACCTTTGTTTACAAGTGTTTACACAGGAAATGCACAGAAGACCTTTATACATAAATTGGGTGCTGACCACTGTTTTAGGGGCAGTGTCCCACCAGTGTCCCTGCTCTGACAGGCTAGGTTAGCTGGTTTCACATTCTCAGCCACCACTGCCACCAGCATTCACAGCACAGCCCTGAAGAGTCAGGTACTTCTCCATACAATACCATGATGCCAAGTTGATGAGAGATGGAAAATTGCTGCTGAAAGCTATACAAAATTAGAAGTTTTATGATATGCCTTATGATGCCTTTTACAAACACAATTTCATCCTTGCTTAACCACAGCCCTGTAGAAGCAGACAAACCTTGTCAAGTCCCCAGATCAGGTAACCATCTCTACACAGCAGATGCACAACATGCATAAAGGTGATACCAACCTATGAGCTCTACTCATCTGCCTGCTGCACTGTTCCTTTCTCAGAGACGTAGATACCATCCAAGAATTTCCTGATATCCTTGTTCTTGACTGTAGTGGCTTGCTGGATCAAGGCAGCTGCAGACAAAGCAAGACCATTAGCACAAAGCAAGAAGTCTGAGCCAACTTGCAGTCTTTGCCTACTCTCCAGTATTTCAGCCAGCAAATGGAGCTGTCATTTAGAGAAAGGAATTGCCAACTTAAAATCCTGTCAGGGCTAGTGACAACAGGAAGCATTTCACTGAGCTGGTCCTGGCAACTCAGGGCAGTGAGAGTTTATTACTGCACACTTGTACAACTAAAAAGCTGAAAAATTTGGTGCCAAAAGGGCCATAAATACTGACTCAGAGAAGAAGGTTCTGTGGACTTGTAAAAACAGCTCTACATTTAGAAACAGCATAAGCAACTATGAGAAGCAATTACAGTGACTGGAGCAAAATAATATTCTGAGCTGTCATTTACCTCAGGGTTTGAGGAAAAAAGAGTTTGCTAAGCTGACATCTTCAGATAAAAGTGTCCATCTAATTATCTTCCCACACATCTACTTTCACAAACCTGAATTGGAGACCAACTCAATGTCATTCCCTTCAAGGATGAGCTCGTCTTTCTGGGCTTGGGATACTGCACAGGTAACACCTACGGAAAAGAAAACACAATCTACACTGCTGAAGATGCTAAGCATACGAGAGAAACAGTATTAATGTCCCATCCCAATTTACAGACCTACACAGTAGTATCCTAGACAATAATAGGCTTCTATGACTTTGCTCAAGAGAGTCCCCCAAACCCATTCCAGGGTTGTCCTCCCTCACATAGTTTCAGAATTTAAAGATGAGTGCAAGTCATGCTCTGGACTGAAAGCCACTAAGTGATATTCCTGCTTTCCTGTTACTGCAGTACAGCATTAGTCAGCAGTTCTGCCAGCACAGCTCCATCAGCCAGGTAGTGCCACTTCCCACAGGCTTCTGTGTGTGGGGACCAAACTGGAGTCACCCCAGTCTCAAGTCATTAAAAACCTCCTCCCCACTGTCATGTCAAGCAACATGTTTATAGCAGCACTGCTGCAAATATGTGCAAGGAGCAAGCACTAGGGCGTTTGAGAGTCTAACAGGAAACTTTCATTTGCAAGAACATCACAAGTTTTTATAGTTTGATATACATATCAATAGACATCAGCTTTTAAGCCAGTCCTTTCCTATCTTTAAAGGTAATGCTGACTTACAAAAAATCAAGTATAACAATCAAACCCACCCTTAACATCCCACCGTAAATCAGCCAAAGCCCCTGAAACTCTGCACTGCACCTACCAGTGCTTTTGGACAAGTCTGATGCATTCCTCTAACACCACCTCAAAACATCAGCAGTCACATTAACTATCCTTACCCATACATTCACCAGAAGAGGAATTATAAAAAATAGGATATAGGAAGTTTTTCCTACAGCCTTAAGGTAACTGTTCATCATGTGCTTCATCTCCTCCTTTCAGAAGCTGAACAAGCTCCACCAAATGCCTAGTCTAACTCTGTTACACACTTTGCTAAAACTCCAAGTGTGCAAGACATAAATAAAGGCAGTGGGTAAGATGGTCACTTCCGAGTTTATCATGCATGCTCCTAGATAATCAGAAAATTCAAACTACACCACCTCGAAGACAAAAAACACCATCTGGTGTGAAACTAGTTCATGTACAATGTTTAAAACATAAACACAATTCTAAAACTAAGCACCTACAGTTTACCAACTGCAAACACTGTCAAAATCTCACAATGACTAAGTAAATCCAGAACTCCTAGTATTACAGTAACTAACTCTTAACCAGATACTTGCTAGCTCTCATTATTAGAAATTAATTACAAAAGCATTGTGAATAATAAATCTAAACAGGGATCCTAAGATGAATTCAGACAAGCTAGGGCTGCTCCAACAATCATTCAGCATCTCCTTTTCTCAGTGGCAGTGTCCAAAGGAAACAGCCTGGAGAGCCTAGTTAGGAGTGGCAGTCCAGGTGCAGCTCTGCTCACCTGGCCTCATGCGCACCCTGCGGATGTACTTCTCCCCCAGGAAGTTCCTGATCTCCACGAGTGAGCCATTCTCCTGTATGACCACGTTGATGGGGAAGTGAGCATACACCGACCGCATCTTGTAGCGGAAACCCTGAGACACAGGACACAATCAGACAGTGAAGGCAGAACATGCACAAAAGGTACAACACATGCATTGAGTGCACTGGAGAAATCTACACCCAACATGTATCAAAAACAGTTCCTTTAAAAGGGCAAGTCACTGAGCCCAAGAGACATTTGTGCTTTCTTCCACCTGCAGAACTTGTCTGGCAGCAAGTGCAAGCAAAAGAGAAATGCTACATCTTGGATGCTTAGAAATGCTCTCCCTAAAGTACAAAGCTCTCACTGCAAGTTACAAAAATCATAGAATCATAGCATTTTAGGGGTTGAAATGGACCTTAAAGATCACCTAGTCCCAACCCTCCCTGCCATGGACAGGGATATCTCCCATCAGACCAGGATGCTCAAGGCCTCATCCAGCCTGGCCTTGAACACTGACAGTGTCGGGGCAGCCACTACTTCTCTGGGCAACCTGTGCCAGTGTCTCACCATCCTCACAGTAAAAAACTTTTTTCTAGTATCTAACCTAGACGTTCCCTCCATCAGTTTGAACCCATTGCCCCTTGTCCTATCATTGCAGTTCCTAACACAGAGTCCCTCTCTGGCTCCCTGTAGGCACCTTCAGATACTGAAAAGCTGCTCTGAGGGGAGAATCACCTCTTTTGACCTGCTGGTCACACTCCTTTTGATGCAGCCCAGGATTCACTTTGCTTTCTGGGCTGTGAGTGATCCCATTTCAGAACAAAACTTACCAAAGTGACACCCTTGATCATGTTCTGCACATGGCTGCAGATGGTGCGAACTGTTGCCAACTCCTTTCTGTTCCCCCACCACTTGTCAACGCGAAGCTGCATCAAAACACACCAACAAAGCTTTCAGTTACACCCCTGAGCCATGCATGAAACAATTCTGGGACAAACTAGGAGCAAAACATTCAAACACACCACTAGAAATCCCACCAAACAGAGGCACAGGACTATTCTGTTCCTTTGACAGACTGACTCCTGTCTTTCAAGTCCAACCCCCAGATGTATAAGAAACACTCATTTGCTTTGTATCTCACCACTAACAAACTTCCAGCAGAGCTAGGGCAGGCAAATATGACATCTTAGGCTGAAGGATGTGTTATCAAATGTTATACATTTGTTCCCCCATCAGTCTCCTGTACATTATCTATCAGCTTGGATGAAACACCACGTGGGTGCTGTGTTTTAATAGAATGCTCTGATGTCTGTGGAAAAGCAGCTGTATCAGCCTCTCTTGTCCTTTTCTTGTGCTTTTTAAGACCGTACAAAAACATTATGCATTGCTTATAACGCATCTCTCTCCTGATAATTTTGTGAATTAAACGAACTGGTTTAGCTTTAGGCAGCCAAGACAAGGCAGTTTACAAAACAGCACACAAAGCCTGATCCCTTCTCCTGGAACTCCTGCGAGCACAACGGGAATCCATCAGCACATTCACTGTGACATGACAGAACTGCACAACTTCCACAGTGCCTGAGTAATCCCCACGGCTCCCTAGGAACCACCTCTTACAGAAAGCACAGAAATAAGGAAAACCCACCAAATCACACACCCGCGGCCGAACACCTCGGTCGCTCTCCCACACCACCAGGTTTCTGAGCCAACTGTCTCTCAGCCCTGCGTCCCCACGCAGCACTCACCTTCTTGTGCTTCTTCCCCAGCAGGGACAGCTCCACGTTGATGTGGTTAAAATCCCTCCGCAGGGTGCCTCGGGGGCCCTTCACGATGACCGTGCGGCCCTTCAGCGACACTCCGACTGAGAACCAGAGGCAACCACACGTTACCGGCTGCGGCGCCAGCACCGCCGGGAGCCCCCGGGGCGCGGCGCGCACTGACCTTGCTCGGGGATGTCAACAGTCTGGTTGCTGAGGATGGTCTTCATCCTGCGGGAGGAAAAACCAGACACGCTGCAGGCGGCGGCACCCGAGGCCCCTTCATAGAATCATAGACTCAACCAGGT